GTCATATCCAAAGAATGCGGCGACATTGTCAAACCGGAAAATGAACACGACTCATTCTGATCATCAAATAACGTCTATAAAACCACTCTTGTACTGCGGTAAATAAAGTTAGACACCTTATAAACCTTAAAATAGCCCACTAAGTGCAAGGCTTGAGAACTCTAATAAATTATTAGAAAATATTTGTTAAAAAAAACTTTAATGCTAAACGCTGGATTTTGATTTATGGATTGAGTGGAACGCCGTCGTCATCTGGTCGTCGCAGCAATGCTGGATGTATCGGAATGTCAAGCAGCGTGCAAAGACCTAAGTAAATAGAAAACGAGCACACAAATAACAATTAATTCAAGCGAAAACCAAGTCGATTCCAATTTTCAAATGAAATATTAATAGATAATGAACCTTTGTACATGATCAGTTTGGCTGCTGATATGTCCCGATGCCAAAGTGATTTGAGCAACTTGCGTGATTGTGCAGCGTCTTCTGTTCCAGCGTTTTCAGCAGCATTTGGTTGCCAGGTTTTGAAGAAGCGTTGCTTCTTTGACACCAAACGTCCTGAATTTCGTTGGGTTAGAATGGCTGCAATAGCATCACCTTGGTCGCGCATTTCCTCCCAATGACGCATGATTTTCCGTTGCATTTGCAACACTCGTTTGCTGACGTTCGTATAGATGGTTCTCGGAAGTCCAACACGTTCATCTGGATGGCAATCGTTGCACTTCTTGTATCGTTTGCTCTTCGTCCATATCGGGAACCGTTTGAAGCATCGGGCACAATGTTGCGATGTCATGTATTCATCCACCAACCGAACGACACAATTGCCACGTCTTTTGAAGGCTGCAATCAGCTTGCGAACGCCTGGACGTACTTTTTGATTCGGATCGGGCAATTTGGTGAAATTTCGGCTGCTCCGATGTTGATGATAGCTGTCTTGAAATGTACCAGCTTACCGGCGATGAGATCAATTGCACGACGCCATTCAATGTGTTTGTCCAAACGTAAGCGTGCATAGTTTTTCTGACTGTATGCCGCGATACCATCTTGGGACATTCGCAGGCGATGTTCGATGTAATGGCGCCAAGAGATGTTCCGTGGCGATGGTGTCTGGCCAATCTCTGCGGCGATACGTTTGAGGTCCGCTTGTTCGTCATACGTGAAGACTCGTGTCATTCGTTCGGCTTTAATGTTGCGCGCATCTTGTTTCGATTTCAGATGGTATTGTTTGAACGAAATCTTCTCGTTGGTCTGAAAATAAAATGCAACAAAAGTGAATTAATACTTCTTCTTCTTCTTCTTCTTCTTCCTTTTATCGTTTTGTAAATACTTACCTCTTCGCCGGTCTTTAGATCGAGGCGGACCGACGCAATAAAAGTTCGCATGCCTGGATCAATTCCCAATGCATACGCGAATTCGCCTGCGAAATATTTTCGTTTGGTTTCGGCCTCATCTTCATCAGCAACAGTTTTGCTCTGTTTCGGCAATTTGAATAACACCGACGCTGACACACCATCTGAAACTATCGAATCGCCGAATTCCTTCTTATTCTTGACCAGCTTGATAATTTCGTCCATGTTGAAAAACAAACGCCAGCCTCCTCTCTCCTTGAATTCAGTCTGTGAGATCCAGCGCTGTTGGTATTCGCCATTTCGTAAGACTCGAGTGCCTTTTGTTCGCGGCATTGCCTTGATGCCCAATAAAATGTTGTACAATGAATCCGTATCAATTTTCACGTGTCGGCGCTGGAATGTGCACTTCGGAATGACTGTGAAGGTGGTGATTTCAGGCGGCTCTGGAAATTCTGGCTGTTGCACATAGAGCGGATATTTTCGGAACAGATTCCAACTTTGGCGTAGATTGGCAAACGAGAGGTGAAAGTTATGAATATCACGCTGTATATTAATGAACATGCGCAATGCTTGGAACCAATTGAGTTCAACGAATTCTCTGA